TAGAGAATAATTATTAATATACAAGTAAATAATCAGAAGAACACGTCTTATACGAAATCATTTCATATATTGGAAGGATGTATCATATGAATGATGAATAATTCGGATATACTCTTAATCATTTTAATGTTTATTTTGTAACCTAATATGCTTCATACACCATTACATATATATATATATAAAATAATAACTATTATAAAAAACTAATAATATACAATAATGCTTTAATGAAATATATATGGTATGCACAGTGTAACATAGAATGAAATGCCTTATAATATATAATTTCTTCACATATGTTTAGGTGAATATATATATATATATATTAGTTAAATTAAAAAATGTATTAATAATATAGTTTTAAATTTTAACCTATAGCATAATTAAGGGCAAGATTAATATACATCAAATGAAGTTAATGTTTAGCATCTTATTATATATTTTAAGTGTTATTTTAGTACTGCATTGTATTTATAATTATATGGAAATTAAATACAATGAAAAACAGTTATACTATTATAAAACATTTAATTTTTTATTTATGAAGAATATGTACAATTTTTTTTTATATAATTGTGCTCTATTGTCAAAAATATTTTTATTTGGTAGAGTTAAATTTTACAATGATGAAAAATTCAAAATTTAAGGAATAATTCATATTAAAAGAAGATGTTGTCTAAGATTAACATTTGATATATTTATAATTTATCATTTACTTAAATATTAATATTAATATACGTATGTGTTCTAAAATAAATGCAACATATATAGTAATTATCATAAGAAATACCGTTTTTTACGACTTAAAAATCAATATATTGTGTAAATAATAATCATTCTACAAAAAAAAAATTCTACAATAATTATAATGAATATATATTATAATTAAGCATATATCATTATATATGTATTTTAATTAACATAACATGTTATTACTCACAAAATTAGTATATACCTTTTTTTTTTTGTGCAACACTACAAGTGAGGCAAATAATTTCGTGATAAGACCACAATGTATGTTGTTCATTGATGTTAAAAATTAATTTATTTTTTTTGATTAGAACTACTTATATTAATAAAATATATTATTATTATAAATTATATTTCATCTTTTATACAATCATATTTATTGTATTTTAATTATAGTTTATCGAGCTTCCATGAACAATATAATATTTATGGGATAATATATCTATAATAAAGTGTTGTTATTTACAAAATTTTTATTCATTTAATCTATTATATTATTATAAATAAAAAATAATGTTATTATTTTTTTATATTTTATTTTTTTCTATACATATTTATTTTTATTTTTTCATGTATATTTGAAAAATATTTGCTGCATTAATCTAATGAAGATTTATTAGAATAGATAGTACATATTATATATCTATGACAATATTTTTTCAGAAAATATATAAGAATTAATAATTTCCAATGTATTAATATATATCCTTATGGTAATTTTGCACAATACTTATAATTAATGATGACTATATAAGTATGTATCAAAAATTATCTTTAATCCACTATTCTCAATTAAAGAACAATTAGGAGATTATATTCATAATATTATTACTGTATTTATATGTTTCTGTTAATATAATAATTTATTTCTTTGGATAAATATATTTATTCTTATAATTCATTTTCTTAAGAGAAACAAACATGAATTTATTAATTTGTATTACCTATTTTTGTTAGCATTATTTAATTGAGGAATATTATATTCGACTCTTATGATTTGATAAATCCTGTGATATATCGTATGAATCTATTAAGTTGAAATGATCTGTACTTTTTTTGTTCAACCTATTTCTTAATCTCCTTACTATAGGATCTAATAATGAACCCAAAGTATTAAACTGATGGTAAAAAAAGAAAAAGATATTTTTATGAAGGCTTCACTAATTTAATGTACATTTCATTAAATTACATCTAGTATAATTTTTTTTATAACGAATAATTAATAAATTAATCTTATATTTAACCTTAAAAATAATGAATACTATTATAACCGCAGTAATTATTAAAATTCCTAGTCCTCATAGTGTTCCTGTATACACCTGTGCAGCAGGCCCTGATGAAATATGTGCGACTTGCTCTGATATCACTCGTCTTATCGCCTCTGGTGAAAGCTGTGTTTCCTTCTTTAATGAAATTTGTGAGGCCCTCGACGATATCATATGTTTGATCGAACCTGTAACATGCGATCTAGATGTTTGATCACTCTTTGTTTGCGCATGTGTGTCTATCGAATTCTTTGGAAGCATATTTTTATTCTTTTCATATGGGGAAACTATTATATCTAGAGATCCTGAGCAATAATCAGGATGATGTTTATAGCTGTTATATACTGTGCAAAATTTAACTAGTAAGGAATAAATACTTTTATTTTGACTTTGTAATATGTCTCTTTTATTTAAAAGTTCATTATATTTACTAACACATGGTTTACGAATATGACATACCCATTGTCTTGTACTTATATCATGTATATACTTATATAATACATCCATAACCTTAAATATATTATATGCTCCTGATCAAGTTTTTTAATATGACCTTTGCATACATCAGGTATTCTCATTTTTACATTTTTTCCATACTCTATTATTTTATTGCAGCAATCCTGTTCCTTATTGTTACATATTGTGTAAAAATTCTTAAAAATCTCATTTAGCTTATAATTATAATACATACAACATTCTTCTTTTATGTTATCAGTATTTTTTTCTACATGAAATAAATAACTGCCGGTATCTATGTAATTCACATAAAAATCATAAATATCGCGATGACCGCCAAGTTCAGACAAATATCCCTACAGGCAAAACTTAAACTCTTATTTTGGTGGGGTAACATTATGATATATACGCTTTGAAGGTTCATACTCATTTCTACATTTTGGAAATACATTGCTGAAATTGATCTACACATGAAAGATATGCAATGTATATAAAACATAAATCATATATATAGGATATCATTTGGGCAAATTTTCAAAAATAATGATAATTTAATTTTTTGTAATTTAAGATAAAAAAGAACATACATTTTTATCTATACATACAGTACTATCCATAATGATTTAAATATTAGATTTCCAAAAAATATATATTTTACTTTTTGAAATTAGTTTTTATGTACTTTTCATTATAAAATCATATTTTACAATAATAAGCTTCAGGGTCAAGGTTTTTGATATAATTTTCTTATTAATATTTTGATTTTTCATACAAACACAATAATTTATCAATTATTTCGTATGTAATATTACCTTCATTAAATTTTTTTTTAAAATTAGATATGATCTAATGGATACAAAATATCTTAATATATATAAATTATATTTAATTAATAAAAACAAAAATTGTAAATAATTTTTTCTTATATATAAATTAATATGATACATCGTATATGTTAAATAAATATTTTAATTGAATATATACATATATAATTATGAATGTATTAATTATAGTTTATTAAATTATATATATGCATTATATGGATAACCATTATTTATAAAAAAAAAATGATTTCAATGTAAAATATTACTCTATATATTATGATCACAAATTAATTATAAATTTAATGAATTCTAGCTTTATATGTTACGTAATAAAATGCATTAATATTAATGTTATCAAATAATTATTGATAATGTATATATTTATGTAGTATATTTATTTTTTTTATTCTTAATGTTAATGTTCAATGTAAAATTAATTTATAATATTATTTTATATTATTTATTTTTCACCGCTTTAAAATACTAAAATGAATCTTAGTTTTCATAATAAATTATGTAAATTGGGAAATATAATAACACATACGATATATATTATTATATATAAATAAGAAATAATATAGGTTTTAATGTTATTTTGATTTTTTTGGAAAATAATACACACAGTACAAATTTCATAATTATTATAACTCATATTCCTTTATGAGATTATTAGAAAATTTTTTTTTTTATTATTTCTATTTTAAATAAATATTTTTCATAATCTGATAAAATAATTAAAAACAAAATTTATTTAATTGTTGTGTGAATGATAATCTTGAATTAATAAACTGTTTAGAACATATATTTAAAAAACATATATATAAGGAGCATATTAAAACTTTATAGATCATATATAAAAAGGTTTTAAATTTTTATTGAATTAGAAATAATATTATATTACATATATTATACTACTATATAATGAACTAGTTTTACATTTTATTATATAATTTATATAAACTTAATTTTTTATGAACGTAATATTAATTAAATGTTGTTTATATCTTAATATTAAAATATTAGAGAATTATTTTTTTTATATTTATGATATCAAGTGCCATTAACTTATTAAAATAATAGGTTTGATGATATTTCAAATAAGTTCATGTTAATATAAAATCAATTATATATATAATTAATATATGTGTTATGAAATTCTATAAATTAATTACGTAAAAATTAATAATAATGAAATATATAGTACTGATGTTGTATAATATTTTATCGATAGAATGTGTGTGCATGAAGTTTATAATAATGAAAAATAATATAATATACATAAGCATATTATTAGAATAAAGATATAAAATATATTAAAACACCAAAAAAAAAGAATCCTATTTTTTTATACTGTAATATTATTTTAAAGAGACACATTTTCTTCCTTAATAACATACATAGTTCATTTATTATAGAAATAGATGTTCCTGTATTGAGGTTATATGTAAAATGATCACCTAAAGGAATAATTTTTTTATTCTCACATTTATCCAGTACATTTTTTTTCATATAATTATAAATATATTATCCTATAAATAAATAATCTCGCTTGTATTATAGATTTTTTGATTATTCATATGCTCAAGAGTGAAATAGAATATTGAACACTTAATTAATAATATTAAATTAAGTATATTAGTTTCATTAAAATATATCCAATTACAAATAAATAGAACATAGCAATATAAAACCTTAATGTGCTCTAAATATGTTTTATATACGAATATATACATGTTAAATAATGAGACCTTTTTATGGTAGCTGCGGAAATTATTTAATAAGGAACAATAAATAAAAAACTAATATCTTCTTATATGAGAACATTACATACTTCACATTTACAAAATTATATATTGAGATATAATATATATCTGATTTACTTTTTTCATATTTAAAAACAATATTTCAATATAATTCATCCTTAAGAGTATTAGATTCTACTATTAATTATTAGAATTTTCGAATAACTTCTTTTTATGCATAATTATTTTTTGTATTTTATGAATATATATTATTTTTTTACGAAATTACTCCCAATATTATTGAACATAATAAAATACTGTCTTCTATTCTTATTATATGAAAGATCTTATTAGATATATAATTCATATTTATGCATGGTTCATTAATATTATTAATATTTGTATTTTACATTATGCTAATGATGCTGAATACTTATTTGCATATAAGAACAAGGGATTATTAATTAATTAACAATTTATCATTTTCTAGATGTAACATAAATACATTTTTATTTCTGTTATTGAATTTAAGCACACTTTAAGGTATATGTGATCTTTTATTTTAAATTGTTATTATATAAAATTGTAACGAATTAATTATATTATCATAGTGATAATATAAGATATAAAAAGCATTCATCTTATGAACATTAGATTTATTCTCTATTATCTTACATTATTAAATTAAACATCGGCAAATTAAATAATCTCAAGAAATACAGCAATATGAGAAATAAAAAAATGATTTTTATTTTATTTTGAATCATAAGTCCACCCTACAGATAATAGTTTATCCAAAAAAGACCATTCAAAACATTCATAACATTTTATTTATTAAAATATTTTATACATAAACCTGTTATAATTGTAAATTTAATTTTTCTGTAAATAACATAAATGGATGTCCGCATAAAATCTATTAGAAATATATATTATTTTTTTTTATTTCTCATATTGTTAATCATATATGTATTGTCAAAATTAACAATAGTATTAATATTAAACGTAATATATATTTATACAAAATTATAAATTATAAATTGAGGACAATTATTAATATTATATCAATAATTATACACTATATTATATTAGTTTTGTATAATAAAATTAGTTACATTATACTTTAGTAAAAGATCGATTGAATTTTATGAAAATAAATATATTTCAAATTATTTTCTATGTATGAAACATCATAGTAGATTAATAGTAATAACATAAATAATATAATATCATATTATATAATAATTATATTCTTTTTATCTATTGAGTTTTTGATCTTCCTTTTAGTTGAATTCAAACGAATAGAAATATATTTTATGCAAAATAAAATAGATTAAATAAATATATATTCTACGTATTGTTTAATATAATTTAACAAAATTATCATTAAAAAATAATTTTTTTTAGCCCTGTTATAAATGAGATATATTCCAAAAATTATCATTGATAAAATTATTAGATATTTATTGTTTTTTTTTCTAGTGAGTGGATTTAGAGGTACTCAAATTAATAGGTTTATATTTCTTTATATTAAAATAAAAATAATATATTATTTTGCTAATATTACAACAATAGTATAAATACATATTATCAAAAATATTAATAAATAATAAGTTCTGCATACTTAAAACTTGGAATTTATACTTATTCATAATTATATCAAATAAAATGCGTATGTTATATGACTTCTCTAGTAGGAAAACTAAATTCATTAGAGTTTTTGGAATGTTACAATATATTTCCAAAAGTTCGTATTAAATATATATTATACAATAGTTCTTATTTTCTATAAAATAATATTTTTCCATTTATTAGTACCGGAAAACTGAACCAATAAATATTAAAATGTATGCTTTTAAAGAAAAATAAGATATATATATTAATAACAAAATATTCATTACTTGACTATCAAATAAATTTTTTAACACATTTTTGATTTTCCTCACGACACAATTGATAAATAATATATTAAATACATTTTTAATATATATTTTTATTTTTTATACTCCTGCATATATCAGGTGCTAAATTATAGTAGATATAAATAAATCTACGTGAAAAATTTCCCATTTTATAAGCATTAAATAAATGAAATTAATAATGACTTAAATTTTATTGTAAAATAAGAAAACTATATCTATTTATATTAAAAAATAATTGTTATTAAGGATCACATGTTTTTATTGTCTTAATATTTAATATATATAATTAAGTGAAATTGATGAATTTTTCTACACGTAGAATAATATATCAATTATGAGTATATGTATTATTCATTTCTTAATTATTATATACTTTATAACGTCAATAAAATGAATAAAATATGATATAATATTTTTATATTATATGACGTAGTTATATATGATAAAAATTAATTCTTCTTTTCATACTTTTCCTATTGCTGTTATTATTAATGGCTTAGACAATCAAATGAATTTATTGTCAAATATTTTTTATATTCTATATGTGTGATGTAATGACTTAAATATTGAAGATGATTACAATAACACATTTTATATAGTCATATACATAACATTTAATTTATCTATATGTATACATAGTAAAACCTTTTTATGTGTAATATATGAGAAACGAATACACAAATAGTTATCGTATATATATATATAATATATTTTTAATATGTGTTAGTCATTAATTCAGAATAGTCAATTTTATAATTTGAAATGCATTTTTTATATTTAGTATCAATATAAGTTTATTATATAAAATTCATAATATATAAACAAAAATAATTAAAAATATAAACTTAAATTTAGCATAATAATATGTAGGATTAAATTGTATTTATTCAAAATTGATGAATATATTTATATAAATTATATATGGACTTGTGAATTTTATACTTTATACATATCTTATTTATCAAAATGGAAGATAAAAAAAGTGTAGTACTATATTCTTTATTTCTTCACAGTATATAATATTCTTTCGATTATATGATTTGTATTTTTTACAAAAATAAAATAATTTAATTTTAATGTTCTTTAATGTAATCTCTGTAATGTGTTTTAATAAAATCAATAATATTTCACTAATTTTTTTTTGTAATATAATTATTTATGGATATGTCTTTTTATAACATTAATAATAGCATGATTAATAAAAAAAAACTGTAATATATAGCTTGTGCTAAAATAAATTAATGCTATTCTCAATTAGTAAAATAGTTGGATGACTTTATAATTGTAATAATTATGTTAATCTGAAAAAAATATTAATATACAGTGTAATATTTTCTATCTAATGCATTATAATAGCAATAATAATATATAGGAAAAAGAATTAATATTATTGTTTTTGCATGTTCAATTAATTATAAACTATAAGTAAATTATGACAATATGTTTTCATAATTTATTATTGAGATTACATAATATCAGAATTTTGAAATATATAAAACAATTTATATTGATGCCCATATAGTTAGTAAATTTAAACATCCTTCATTGAAAAAAATATTATAGAATTAAAAATTGTCCATTATTTTCAGTTATTATATTTTTTGAATGTAAATTATTAAAGTTAAGGAATTATGTATTTCCTTTAAATATTAAATGTATAATACAATTAATAGCATGAGTGTATATTATGACTATAATATCTATAATTTTAGTACATTATCAAGAATATTCTAATTGAAATAGATATTTTATTGCGTTCATAAAATATTTTACTTTTTTTATGACGATATTTCTAAAAAAAGTATTACATTCACATTATATTTAAAAAAGTTTTCATAAATAAATTCTGATAAATATTAAAAAACACATATTCTTTATTTATGTAAATTATATATATTAAAAAATTATATATAACTTATAAAATTAATTATTTTAGGGAACTGATATTATATTTTTTCTAAAATAATTACGTTATTTCCTCAAATTGAGATATTATTTGTTGAACATAGTATTTATTATAATAATGATATGTTATTATGTATTTGTACATATGCTATAATAACTAAATTAATAGTAAATTTTATGAAATTATGAATATCCCAATAATTTAATTTAATTAAAACATAAATTAGATTGACATAAGCAGTTGATATATTTTTACAAGGGAACGTTTTATCATTAATATTAAATAATTAATCTATAATATATAGAAGCTGCACATAATAGTTGTGTACAATTTTGTACTTATAATTAGAGCACAATAAATAAAATTAAAAAATTCATATAAATATTATTTATATTTTATTATACTAGCATCAGAAAAGAATTATGTGTGAAAAAATACAAATAATTAATTTATGAATATAATTTTTTTTTTGTTATTATTTTTCCAAAATTAATAATGTTTCCTCAGATTTTAGTTTTGTAAAGTCACATTATATTCTGTTTAATTAATCTCTATATATATATTTCCATAAATGATATATTTTAATATAGTTATATAGGTAAGGACAAATATACTTTTTTGAATTTTTATATATAAATATTACTATAGGCGTTAGTAATGATATAATGATCTTCATAAACATATAACAATTTTTCTTATTACTCTGACATGTTAATAGCAAATATTGCAATGAAGTAAAATAATTCTCAATTGATAATTGTAAAATTAAATATTTTTATTTTATCTAAATATGATGTAATATAAATTTATACAATTAAATAAGGGAATGATGCAGTGAAAATGACATATATGGATTTTTGCATATTTATGATATCATAAAAAGAATTTTATATATCTAGTGATCAGTTAAATAAACGGATGATAAAATTAATAATTGACTTCATTTTTTATAAACATTTTTAATTTATATCATATATAATAAGAAGTATAATAATATGACTCATGTTTGTTCTGAAACCTTATCAAAATTTTTAATTTCATATATGGTTCGATGAATTTGATCATATTTAAATATTAAAATTATGAATGAGTTCATTTATATGCATTTATTTTTTACATATTAAAGCTATTTTAATTACATTTTAAAAAAATATTTCCAGTGTTATAGTACTTCAAAAATCCTGGTTTACATGCGTATATATACCAGTTATGTTAATATACTTGTAATCGATAAATATATTTGATTTACGAATCTGATAATAATTTTTTCTATTAATTATATTACTGTATTACGAAATATATTTTAAGATATTTAAAGTTATAATTTTAGAAGCAACATTTTTACTTTTTTTTAATTATATTTTTTTAACTCACGCAAACACCTATTTCAGTTGTCTTATTAAACAATGTTCCAAGGACTGTTATATATTTATTTAATCCTTATTGTAATGCATATTTATAGTGAATCTATTTCATTAGTGTTATGATAATATAAATTATCAAACATTCTATGATAGTTGTATTTTCCTTTTAAATCTTTTACATTATATAATAATTTAATATGACGGAAATATAAGAAAGCAGAAAATACGTATATATTATATGATGATTGTGTTTTTATTTTTTAATATGTAACACTAAAATCAAAACATAATAAATTTTGTAATGATTTATTATCTTCATTATCTGATTATTGGTGCAATTCATTATTAGTATATCCCCCCATTCTATGAAATATGTGATCCATATTATTCATATATCACATAGCTTTCTATTATCCATTCATGTAAGATCTCTTCATTATAGAGTAAATTTTCTACTTCTTATGATATTTGAAATATGAGGATTATAGTTCATTATTTAATATTTTCAGATATAGTTATGTCCTACATAATATATGATATATATTTGATAGATCATTGTTTTAACTATGATATCTATGATTTTTATTAATAATATTATAAATATTTAAACAATAATAATATATATTTACATATACATATAGATTTGTTTAATGACCATAAAATTACTTGTACTTTTAAAATTTTCATATCTATTTAATAACATTTTGCTAGATAACTCGACAATACATTTGTGTTCCATACAATTAATTAGTTCTATATAAGAAACTTCTTTTGTGATTTTATTAATAATGTAATTTAAATTAATAAATTTTATAAATGTTTTAATAAT